CCAGTTACGTATTTCTCATTACAAATGATTAATTCGACGCGAAGTCGTTGGTACACACTCAGTATCTTTTATAATTAATTTATTTTTGTTTCCTAAAAATATCTTGATTAAAAGAAAATATATAAAAGTTGGCAACCCTAATCACGTGACTAAAGTTTTTGGTATGAACTGTAAATACCTTTATCTAACAAATTATTTTGCGTGGTCGTTTCTGGAGGTCCGCTTTTGGTCAAAGATTCGACAATTTTATGGAATATATTGGGCTCAACAGGATTTTTCGCGTTCTTACTTAAAATATCCTTAAACCTTTCCGGATTGTCAAAAATACTTTCTCTCGTTTTGCGGGCGTTGTACTTCAAAACTGGTTTCGTCATCAATTGGTCGTCTATGTCGTCGAACACGCTAGAAAGTTCCCGCTCGATGATCTCCGACTGCGACAAAGATTTCGTGTCGGTCAAATTTAAAGTTTCCAGATTTCTGATTATGTTTTCGGATAGTTCCATGTCCTCTTTGATCAGCTTTAATGGCTCATATTGCTGCATGCTAAAGAATATAAAAAAGATGAATAAATAGTTCACTTCAAGCCGAAGAATTTTATTAAAAAAGATGTCACAGTGTCTTTTGATGTGACGATCCAGATACATCACTGAATAAGAAGACTAAATAAGGAGTTAGATATTATTTTTATATTCATTACATTAAAGACGGAAGGGACGTCATAGTCACCATTTTCAATTACGTTTTTTGACAGTTTTTGTTACAGAATCTTTGGAGAAATTCGAAATGTTGTGTCTTTGTTCTAGTTTATTTTTATAACTAATTTTATGCATGCAGTACAAAGGCAGATTAACTTACAGATGGGGCACTTATTTCATGTTTCTCATAAACGCCACCGTGACTTCGGACCTTTAATAGGGCTACGGCGTTGTCAGATTTCGTTTTTTGTCTCGAACGCATTATTGCCTTTTGTAAAAAATGTATTCCCAATTGGAATACCTAATCTGTGGCACAGCAGAGGTAGGCAAAGATTGAACGGGTCGTTCATTTGAAAGAGTATTAAAAACGAATCGTGAGATTCGATTCACTGCTTAGAATACCGTTCGTTCAATTGAATCTTGGCCAGCACGGATCCATAAAATCGAGTCGTAAAAAAGAGTCGTGAGAATTGAATCGGATCACACGTTTGTTTTTACGGCTCGTTCGTTCAAAGAGTCATGAGCATTGATTCATTGTTTACAATACGACTCGTTCAATTGAATCGTGCCCTGCACCGATCCATAAAATTTGATCGATGAGCCGTAAAAAAGAATCGCGAAAATGCGATCGTTCGTTCAAAGTGTCGTGAGAATTGATTCATTAATTGCTTACAATACGCTTCGTCCAATTGAATCGTGGCCAGCATCGATCCATAAGGTAAAAATTTGAACGATGAGTCGTAAAAAAGAGTCGTAAGAATTGAATCGGATCACAGTATATATAGGTATAGAGAGAGTCGGGCACCAATATTTAGACTTATGGCGGATTAAAAGACGAAATCGTGTTTTTATACGTCTCTAAATACATATAGTTGGCCTCTCTTCCAAGCCAACTGAACGCCATTTTTTTTTCGATCATACGGTTAGGTATTGAAATTTGATCGATGAGCCGTAAAAAAGTCACTAATGCGATCGTTCGTTCAAAGTGTCGTGAGAATTGATTCATTGCTTACAATACGGTTCGTTCAATTGAATCGTGGCCAGCACGGATCCATAAAATTTGAACGATGAGCCGTAAAAAAGAGTCGTAAGAATTGAATCGAATCACAGTATATATAGAGAGAGTCGGGCACCAATATTTAGACTTATGGCGGATTAAAGACAAAATCGTGTTTTTATACGTCTCTAAATACATATAGTTGGCCTCTCTTCCAAGCCAACTGAACGCCATTTTTTTTTTCGATCATACGGTTAGGTACTACAATAGTCACCAAAGCCACCCCGTGTCATATTAAAACATCAAAAAGTAATGATAATTGAAAAATTTTTTTTTTTTTTTAAATTTTACCAAGGCATGTGTTGATGCGAATCAAAAAATAAAATGCTCAGGAGTCATGGTTCTGACAGATCAAGTCAGCACAGATAAAACACAGAGTCATGGTCAGCACAGATAAACCGGAATTTAAGACAGCCATAATAAAACTCCTTCCTTGGTCCTTTTATTCAGTGATGAGAACATATACTCACCTCTCAGTAATCTGAGCAATGTCTATAGTTGGCTCCTTGCAGACTTCTCCACTAACATCCAGTAAATTTAAATCCATAGAAAATTCATATAGTTCTTGTTTTAAATTAAGCGTATGAAAGTTTACAGGGGGGTCCAGACTTAGAGACGACGAAGTAACTTGGTCTAGAGGTTTTATTTTTCTGTGGTATTTCACCGTATCGATGAAGCAAGTTTCCACATGTTTAAAGGCTGCTTCGTCTACCTTCAAATAACGTGACGTAGAGTCAGTGATGCCAGCCCTACGAGGCGCGTCATCAAGCCAGTGAACTTAGACAGTGCCCTCACTTAACAAGTCGTGTGTTCAAACAGAAAATTACAATAAATATATGATATAAAATGCTGTAGATTCGATTCTGATTTGTTTCGTGGCCACAGAGTTGGTGCCAATGTTTTCAATTTACTCGTTTTTCTTCCCAAATGTCTAGCCTTTCGAAAATAAATTTTGAGGGTAACAGCATACATTAAAATATACAGATTATAGCTATCCCTGCAATGTGTTGGAGTTGAAGCCGAGTTAAAGACAACTAGATAACCGGTGCATGTGACTGCATAAGTTCGTCTGTTAGGCAAACACTGGCGCAACAACGCAGCTCCAAAATTCCGAATATCGATTAGCCCTTGCAGGCCAGAGTTGGTAAGCCATTGCGAGATGAACTGGCTGGTGCTGGCGTCTGGTCTCTTATTGATTACTGAATTATTCGATCGATAATTCAAAATCCAGTCTTGCGCACTACGCTTGAGTACAGCTGACTGAGCGACTTATGCAAATTCCTTCCCAGATTACTCACCAGCTCAGCTTCACAGGAATGCAGTTTATGTCAATATGGTTTTTACTTTATAAATATATGGTAACAGTTACTAAACAGTGACTGACTTATATTCACCAGGACATGGGTTATCTTGGAATATTTAAAAAAGCATAGCCGCCACTGACTTTTTTTCTCGTTAACTTAAATAGTATACTAGCTAGGTCAAAGTTGTCTATTGATATTTTGTTGATTTCGGCTTCACGCCAGGAGTAGAATGAACAATTTATTAATTTGCCTTGATCCAAGTCTGATAAGCGCTAACCAAGCCTAAACTAACACAGAGGTACTATAGGTTGGACTAATAATTGTAATATTTGTAATGAATTAAATAAATTAGAGTAAAATAATTGTAATTGAACGGTTTTATATTAACTGTATTGTGATTAATAAAATTGCGTTTTATCTCATCAAGAACACCCATTCGCTCTCAGATTAATACTGCTGAATTGACGACTATGAACTACGATATCAAAGAAAGAAGGTGGCACACTTTGAAAAAATATTCAGTGATAATATGCGTCCCCTGATGAATTGTGACACTTTTAGCGATAAAATGTCTTGGCTTTGAGTAACTTTGCACCAAAATTTCATTCGATTCACTAAGAGTACTTGGAGAAAATTTATAATAAATATAAAAAAAAAAAATAATTAAATTAATTAAATTATAAAAAGATTATTAAGACTTTAACACCTATAGCTACGAAACATAGCACAATCGGAACTATTGATATACCACAAAATAAATTTTTTACGTAAGGAATCTCCCCCACGAGAGATGGCGCGTATTTTTTTTTAAACACCCTGTATATGACATCAGTGAGTCTTCTGTCATTTTAGTAGATCAAAAGTAGATGATTTATCCGCCATTTTTTGGATCTCGTTTGTCAAAATCATGTATTCTCTCTATCTCTCTGCCATTTAGTTTATTTTATTTATCTGTTTGAACATCCCAACTTACCTTTAAGCATTATCTTGAACGACTCCTGATTAAACATGCATAAGGAATGAAGTATTTTATTTTTTGTTATTAAAAAAAATCAATTGAAAATCTATCTAATAATCAAAAAATCGTTTGTTGCAAACTTTTCGGCTTTTTTATAATGCCAAGTTTTAGAGTCCCTATCAAACCATTCTAATCAGAAATAAGTCTGCCCAACGAGAGAATCCCTGACAATGGCAGTTGTGTCTGTAAATATGAATTCTAAGCAAATTAAGAAATCAAATCATTTCGGTTTCGTTGGACTAAACTTTATCTAGAGAGTGCTTGATAGGAACTATCGAATGAATTGAACTATCGAATTATCAGTTTTTTGAATGAATGATTCCAACTATCGAATAGTTTTATTTGAATAAAATGTTCATTCATTCAACAATACTAAACATATGTGACAACCTCGCCGTGCGACTAAATGGTATCGTTGCTTAGAAAATGAAAAAAGGTATATAATTGTATGTTATTACTATTTATTCACTTCAATCTTTGCCTAAAAACATTAAATAATTTTCTACATCCGAAATAAAAAATCATTTGCAGTGTAACAACAGAATATCCAATAAAAAAATGCAAAATATGTAGACATACTATCCCTAATTAACTAATGCCAAAGAATAATATTCTTTGCTAATACCAACTAATACGAATGTACGGCAACAGCGCCGTTCGTAATGTATTTTCTGTTTATAAATACTAGCACCTCAATTAAAAAAAAATAATGATACTTATCTTTATCTGACTCACAATCAAAGATGCTGGCTTCTTTCACACCACTTTGCACTGCGTCCGCTATCGGGTTTTAGAAAGAAACTATACCTATGCCGAGCGACAACTAAAATCCAGATAATATACTGTGCATAATCGATCCCCAGGCGAATAAATGGGTACATGATGAATGGTTTTGCTGCCGAATTACTAGAATACAATATTTCAAAGCAGATCTATTAAGTATTTTTAATTGATGAATTAGACCGAATGTTTTCTTACTAGCTATCGAATTATTCAAATGAATTGCAACTATCAAATGTTTCGATGTATTCATTCGATAGTTCCACTACTAAAGAAATAGTTACCTCTGGAGCAGACTCAAAATACAGCGGTATACAAAACTGAATGGGTACAAGTAAGTCTTCCAAAGAGTAGATTTCCGCGGCATTGGGGGCAAGGCCATATTCCAATTCAAGAAATGTCGGAAACAAATGCAATTTTTGAACTTTGCACTGTAAATTTGGTAACATTGGAGGCGGCGCCTTACCTGAAAAGAAAAGAAAAATCATAAAAAGCAACGTCGATTCGGCCAGAAAAATTCATTTTTGAGATTAACGTTTCGAAATTGACGTTTTCCATCTTTGACATTGAACAAAAGAGTAAGGATAGACTATATCAACAAAATCACCGAAATCTGAAAGGCGTTTTAATATGGCTACCTTGAATTCCGATTTAGCAGTGGCGTTCTTATTTTTTAACGAGTTAAAACATGAAGTAGCGCAAACGCAACAATATTTGTGGGTTAACAAATAATTGATTAAAAAATACAGATACAATTTTTTTAATAGTGAAAATTTGTTCCATTACTTTTCATGCTATAGTCTGTCCAATGAGTCAGGGAAGATTGCCACAGATGATATCCAAAAAAAAAACGACAGAAAATGCATTTCACCGGCTCGGCTTCACAGAATGCAGTTTAGAAGTGGTTTTTATACAGGGTGTCCCAGAAATAAGTGCAGTATTTTAACTGGTAGTATATTTGGGCACCAAAAACACGCCTATGAGGTTTTTTTGCGAAAAAAATTGTTTATTTTTCTTGACATTTCCCTGGAAATTTTAAAAAACATTTTAGTGCCACTTGTTTATTCACTTCGTCTTTAGTGCCACTTGTTTATTCATTCGAGGCGTCAAATAAGCTGAAAAACCTCGTGAGAACATCTTAATAGCCGATTATAGCCAGAGGTTCTCAAAATGTTGCCATTATTTTTTTAAATTTTCAAAGTTAAATAACTCGGTTATTTTCAATTTATTTTAAAAATGGTTATAAGATGTTTCTTTTGGCCAGATCTACAGCCCCTTAAAATATCTGCACTTATTTCTGGGACACCCTGTATAATCAAGGCGAGTCTTAAATAAGTGCAAATAGTTTTCAGGGCTGGTAGATCTCGATAAAAGAAATATAATTCCTCTCTACCGTTTTTCAAATAAGTCCAAAATAACCGAGTTATGATACTTTCAAAATATAAAAAAAAATGACTTAAATTTTCAGAACCACTAGATCTTTTGTTTTTTTTTCTTGTAAATTTAATCTACAACCTATGTTGCCGTATTATCAAAAAATTAAGTTTTTTAACTAAAAAAAATTCAACATTTTTTTTCAAAAGATTCCAAATTTTTAATTTTTTTTTGGCGAAAAAACTTACAGGCGTTATAGACATAGAAAAAAAATATTTGCACTTTTTTAAGACTCATCCTATATAGTATATATGCTCTGAATTAAATAGACAGACACAACTGTCACTGTCATGGAACCTCTCGTTGGACAGACTATATCATTCTAAGAACGATCACAAGCTGCACAAATAAATATTTATAATAATCACACAATCCCTTCCAGATTTATACACTTTGCATAAAAAATATAAACAAAAATAATAAAAAGTAGTCAGGGGAAATTTAAACAAAACTGACAAAAAGGTGCCTCTAGTGACGTCATTTCCGTTACGAGTCTTATTATTCAATGGATAAAGTATTATCAAAAGCTGTGGAACAATGGCAGTTGAAGTCAACTGTCAGTATTAATTTTCTCGATATTACGACTTATTTCTTGAATTGGTCTTTGTGCCTGATTTGTCCTTAAATAAAACCTGTGAGTCACGTTCAACAGTAGAACTTTATTTAAATAAATATTATATACAATATAACGTATTTAGTAATCCTTAAGACATAAAAAATAAAATTTTTTAATGAGTAGACACAGATTAACACTTATTTTTAGATCGTTGTCCTTGAAATATTTCTTCTTCGCCATCGCTACCCCTCCATTTTAGCAAGCTAACTTTCGCACTACCTACAGTATAAACCTTATCGTTATTTACCTCCTCCTCCCATACGGCGTCTCCATTTTTACCAACACCTCGTTGATATAGGCGACCTTGTTTGGGTTGGTGACGTCTGCCAGAAACACGCATATATATTGATCGGCCCAGTTAATATAACTGACTTTGATTTTGGTGTTCCGCCGGTTCACCAGGTCTCGGAATTTATCTGACGACGATTTGGCCCAAGGGGTGTCTGAAAGAAATTTTGCAATTTAATACACACAGTGGCCGACAGTGGCTCGGCGGCCATGATGCCAACTCGTGAGAAACTTCGAGATGCCTGCTTGAGAGAGAAAAGGGAAATTTTAAGCCAAAACACCAAATTATCCATGATTTGAATTCCAATTTATAAGGGATGTTTGAATTATTTAAATGCCTATTATTTAAATGCCTAACAATATAAATAGAGTAGACTCAATAATTTTGTTGATTTTGTACTACCCTTGTATATATGTATTTTTAAAGTAGATCAATCTAAGACGTTTATGGACTAAGCCTACTAGATGGCAGGACGTTTTCTCCTTTGAATAAGAAGACTAAGGAAGGAGCATATCAAAAATCTTAGGTCCACCGCGATGGGCCTCAAATATGGCCTACTTAAATTCCGGTTTATCAGTGCCGTTCTAATTTTATTTAAAAAATGTAAAACTATGATGTAGGGTAGACGTGGGGTAGAGTCAATAATTTGTTGTTTTATTTTACGGTGCGAATAAATGTTGGTAGTTATTAAAATTCTTATAAAAATATAAAATTCTAATAAAAATAGTTATAAACATCCGATACGCTACTGAAGCAGGTAAGTCAAATTGACGTATCTAAATTCTTTGACATCTAATCTTTGACAAGTAGTAAATAAAAGCAAAAATGCAAGAAAAAATATATAATTAGTTAATTTTATTGAATTTCATAAATGATCGGTTTACTACACGTATGTATATTATATGTATAGTCATTTAGTAGCGAAAAGTTGTTCCATTATTTCACACATTTTTGCCGAGATCTACCGCACGCTACACAACCAACTATTTTAGAGTGTTTTTCGATAAATCGCGATAGTGTCACTGTTAATTTAAGTTCTGCCACAATTTCCATCTATATTTACTACCTTTATACAACTATCAGTAGTAGAATAAATAATAAATAACATAAAGTAAGCTCCGTAAAGACTGACAAATCCATAAAATTTCAAATCAAATTCAAATGTGTCAAACGAATCGTCAAACAGAACTGTCAAGGATCCCGACCCTAGAGTGCTTTTTCCGCCCACCATGCATGAATACATGGATAGCATTATGCTCTTTCCTTAGTCTTCTTATTCAAAGGTTTTCTCTGTATTTTACTACAGAAAAATATTTTTTGTTACTCTGAATTTTGAAGCGACATCGATAATTTTCTGACTGTGCCAATTGGTTACTAATCGACCAGATACTTTTGTCTATTAGATATGCTATAAAAAGCTGGTAATTATACAATCTGACCATTGTAAATGCCCGACAAATTCTGCAACGAGGCCGATGTTTCTCACTGATAAGAAATAAAAATGTTTGTTTAGATAATTTTCGAGGTATTTTTTCTTTCTGAATGCACATAATTTTAAAGTATTAAATAAAATAATCATTTTAAAGTATTTTATATTCTTTTGTCCCTTGACCTATTATCCTATCCTGGTCGCACGTATCGAAGTTCTTGTTTCTTCTAGTTTTAAAAAAAACATTCTTATTTCTTTGTAGTTGTAGTGTAAAGTAGATTAATTTATTTAGTTTAATTATATGTTTAGTGTAGAAGTGTAGTATTTTATAGTTAATTTTGAAGTTAAGCAATAGGTGAAGGGATAATTTAATAAGTTATTTTTTCTTTTGTTTGATTAATTAGTAAACTTGATAATTTGTTCAGTGTAGAATAGTAAGTTGTTATGTAGAGTTTTTATAAGAGATCATATTCGCTTATTTTGTAGTTGAGTAGTAGGTGAAGGTATTTGGGTATCTTTTTTCTTTTTGGTTTTTCTTCTAATTGTAGTAGTTCTATTAAGTATTGTAATAGATACACTATATTTTTCTTCAAAGTCGTGTAAAAGTGTGTTATCATATAATTTTGGTTTTCTGGTAGTAGAATATACAAAAAAATCTCTGATCTATTTTAAATTAAATTAATCTAGTCTTATTAAATATTATTATAACTAGTCAAATAATAATTCTAATCAAAGTTTTTTAGAAAAAATATAAAACTACCGATTACTAATAAATATAAATTATTTTAGAAAATAACTTTTGAAATTGAGTATTATTGATAAAGTTTAACATAGTTAAAATTATTAAAAAATATATTTATACTAAACAATAACTTACTTTGTACGTGTGGGGCAATATTTGCCAATCGGCAACGCACCGCTTGAGCTGGCAACAGCGTAAACTGAGTATGCAAAAACACATTCCCTGGTAGGAATCTTTACGTGACTGTGCCATAGTCAATAAAAACACCTTAAAATAGACCAAGTTACAACGACTACATCATAAATTTTATAATTTTTTACATACTTTAACTAGGTCCTTGGTATTCGGTAACACTTTAATAATTTTGGCTCGGTGATATTCTCCATAAATAATTTGGACACAATAGAGACCCTCCTAAAATGTATTAATACTTATTATTATTAATATAATATAATTCTATGTAAAAAAAATGTGCGCATATTTGAAAAAGTGTAGTTTGAAATGTTGAAAAAGTAATAAATTAAAAAAAATATATTTTTACATGAAAAAAAAAAATTCACGTGTAACAAATAGTTTTTTACGTGTAACAAATAGTCTTATACGCGTAAAAAAACGTTAATTACGCGTAAAAAGCAGTTTTTTACGTGGCGTGCTGAACCTTTTAATATTTTTAATCTTAAGTAAAAATAATTTTATAAGAAAAAAAAATTGTTGATAAAAATACCTGTATTAATCCTGGTGGAACCCCATAAGTTTTTTGATTGTCTTCATCATTATAGAAATCTTGAATATCATCCATGAGAATGTCTAATGGAGTTTTTTGATCGGATGTACCTAAAACGAATTTTTAATTAACACCTACAGGATATTACAAACTGACATCACTAAACATACCAAAATAAATCCAAAATTTTGACGGGTCATAGACCTCAACCACTACAACATCTAATTCGTCACCCTCTTGAGATTCTTTGGGCAGAAATTCTTTTGGTATTTCATTACCAAGCACAAATATATCTTTAGGAATATACCCACTAAAATCTGACCAATCCAAATCTGGTAAAGGGTTACTGACCGATTGGGAACACTAAAAAATTAAATATTAAGTTCATTCATTCTACAGTGTGCCCCTGAATCGTCTTTACAAAAAACCTTTTTTATTAAACTTTTTCAGAAAAATAAATTCTTCATAAAAGTTTTTGATTGTTCTAAAACGCTTAATCCCTTTTATAGTTTCTAAAATTTCCGTCTCATTTAAGGGAAAACCTTTGTACTGGACTCGCCTTCTCTAACCATGTTAGCATCATCAGCAGATGATTAAAACTAAACTAATATCTACAAATTACCGTTAACAGTTGGCACCGACTAGGCGTGGCAAAACTAGCCAAGTGAGTCAAAACCAACGGAGCGTAACAATTAATTACTGAAACTAGACCAATAGGAACAGAAAACTAGAAGGAATAATTTTGACGCTCTCATATGCATCTAATTGCCTGTAATTTGAGATTTGTTTAATTAATTTTAAATTATTATTATTTATACAATAATCTTTAGTCTACCATATCTTATCTGAGCCATATGTTCTTTAAATCTAGTTAATGTTGATCTTCTAGTTTGACCAACATATTTCTGATCAATACAATCTTTAAATTATTTAGCCCCCATTTTTCTCAAGAAGTTAATAAAAAGAAGTTTTTCCTCGGGGACATACTGTATATAATATAGAGGGCGAACCAGTGTTCTGAAAAATCTCCATCAATTTATTTTTTAGAATTGAATCGGATCACAATGCGATCGTTTGTTTTTACGGCTCGTTCGTTCAAAGAGTCATGAGCATTGATTCATTGTTTACAATACGACTCGTTCAATTGAATCGTGCCCTGCACCGATCCATAAAATTTGATCGATGAGCCGTAAAAAAGTCACTAATGCGATCGTTCGTTCAAAAGAGTCGTCAAGAATTGATTCATTGCTAACAATACTGTTCTGTTCAGATTGAATCGTGGCCAGTATGGATCCATAAAATTTGAACGATGAGCCGTAAAAAGAGTCGTAAATTGAATCGGATCACGAGTATATATAGGTATAGAGAGAGAGTCAGGCACCAATATTTAGACTTATGGCGGATTAAAAGACGAAATCGTGTTTTTATACGTCTCTAAATACATATAGCCTCTCTTCCAAACCAACTGAACGCCATTTTTTTCGATCATACGGTTAGGTACTACAATAGTCACCAAAACCACCCCGTCATATTAAAGTAACATCAAAAGTAATGAAAAATTTGCAAATTGTAGGTGGCAAGTTAACCAAGGCATGTGTTGATGCGAATCAAAAATAAAATGCTCAGGAGTCATGGTTCTGACAGATCAAGTCAGCACAGATAAAACACAGAGTCATGGTCCTTTTAGATAAACCGAATTTAAAGGCAACCATAATAAAACTCCTTCCTTGGTCCTTTTATTCAGTGATGAGAACATATACTCACCTCTCAGTAATCTGAGCAATGTCTATAGTTGGCTCCTTGCAGACTTCTCCACTAACATCCAGTAAATTTAAATCCATAGAAAATTCATTATAGTTCTTGTTTTAGTCGCGAAAATGTCAAAGAAAGTTTACAGGAGGGTCAGACTTAGAGACGACAGAAGTAACTTAGTCACAAGAAGGTTTATTTTCTGTGGTATTTCACCGTATCGATGAAGCAAGTTTCCACATGTTTAAAGGCGGCTTCGTCTACCTTCAAATAACGTGACGTAGAGTCAGTGATGCCAGCCCTACGAGGCGCGTCATCAAGCCAGTGAACTTAGACAGTGTCCTCACTTAACAAGTCGTGTGTTCAAACAGAAAATTACAATAAATATGATATAAAATATAATAGATCCGATTCTGATTTGTTTCGTGGCCACAGGGAATTAGTCTTAATATTTTTTCAATTTATTATAATTTTCTTCCCAAATATTTACAACTTTTCAAATAAAATTTTGAGGTAACAGTTACTAAAAATTGACGACATATTCACCAGGACACGCATATGGGTTATCACTGAATATTTAAAAAAAAGCATGTACGCCACTGACTTTTCTCTTGTTAGCAAAATAGTGTAAGCAGTTTAATGCCGATTAAAAGTTGTCTATTGATATTTTGTTGATTTCGGCTTCCTTGATGAGATGAACGCAATTTTATTAATTTGCCTTGATCCAAGTCTAATAGCCATAACCAAACTAAACCTTTTGAAATTGCTATAGGTTGGACTAATAGTACTAATATTTAATAATAAATTAAATAAATTAGGCAAAATAATTTATTAATTTTAATTTTTTTATATTAACTTTATTGTGATTAATAAAATTGCGTTTATCTCATCAAGGAGGCCGAATTCGACAAAATATCAAGAGATTATTACTTTTAACTGGCATTAAACGGCCTATACAATTTTGATATCAAAAGAAAAAAGCCAGTGGCACACTTTTTTTTTGAAAAATATTCCAGTGATAACCCATGTGCACGTCCCTGATGAATTTATCGACACTTTTTTAGCATTAAAATATGTAGCTCTTAGTACTAAAAGTACTTGGAAGAAAATTATAATAAATCAAAAGATTATTAAGACTTAACACCCTGTAGCTACGAAACATAGTAGAATCGGACTTATGTTGATATGCAAAATAAATTTTATTTTTACGTAAGGAATCTCCCCACGAGAGATGGCACGTTTTTTGAAACATCCTGTATATGACATCAGAGTCTTCTGTCATTTTAGTAGATCAAAAGTAGATGATTTATCCGCCATTTTTTGGATCTCGTTTGTCAAAATCATGTATTCTCTTTATCTCTCTGTCATTGGTTTATTTTATTTATCTGTTTGAACATCCCAACTTACCTTTAAGCATTATCTTGAACGACTCCTGATTAAACATGCATATTACAGGTATGAAGTGTTATATTTTTGTTATGCATACTTTTTTTTAAACTCAATAATAAAACAATCCCGTTTATTGCAAACTTTTCGGCACACCTCGTATAAAGTTTACGAGGTCCCTGTCGAATGCATTCTAATCTCGGAAATAGTCTGCCCAACGAGAGAATCCCTGACAGTGACAGTTGTGTCTGTGATCTTAATTCACAAGCAAATTAAAAAATCAAAATCATTCCCGGTTCGTTGGACAAACTTTATCCTAAGGAAATTAGCGATGGGAACTATCGAATGAATTAGACTATCGAATTATCGGTTACTGAATGAATGATTCCAACTATCGAATGGTTTAATTTGAATAAAATCGTTCATTCATTGTATACTAAAGCATATGTGACAACCTCGCCGTGCGACTAAATGGTTATCGTTGAGCCACGACTATCGAATGCTTTGGATAAATGAAATTTAGTATTCGTTTGATTTTTGTGTGCGTCGGTGCATTATTAGTTCTTCCAAATTTTTATAACTTCGCCTTGTAAATACTGTGCTATTTTTGCGTTTATTAAAATATTTAAAATACTAAATAGTAGTTTTTTTTTAATTGACGATTGTGTGCCGTGTGCAGGTACTCGAAATTTTTCCGAAAATTTGTGTGATTTTCCGTAGCCCGATCTTTCAATTATTTAATTTTATAAGGTATATAGTCTATTTTTTTAATGGGAGAAGTAGCAATTTTTAAGAGAGATGAGATGAACTTACAATTCATTTTAAAAATACAAATTTGTATTTTAGATGTTCAGATGTGATATAATAATATGAATTAGTTGAACTTGATAATCATATTTAAGTAATGTGGTTAAGTAAATGGTTATCAAACTCAAATTTTGGGGTGAGAAAATTAAATTGAAAGTTTTACACGTGCCAATTTAAAAAAAAAGTTAACGATATTTGTATTTTGTTTATGCTAATTCTCTTACATGTAGTTTTTTGCGAAGAAATATTTCATTTATTTTTTAAAGTAAATGCCAGTAAAAGTAAATATTATTTTTAAATAGTAATATAAAGTAATAAAAAGTAATATAAATAATTTTGATTTCTAATTTTTTATTTATATTTTCCTTCCATTACACTGCATGCTTAGAAAATAAAAAAGGTATAACAAATTATTACTGTTACTACTATTTATTTAACCAGTCTTTGCTTAAAAACATTAAAAATAATGTTCCTACATCCAAAATAAAAATTATTGCAGTGTAACAACAGAATATTAATAAAAAAATGCAAAATATATAGACATACTATCCCTAACAAGAATAATATTCTTTGCTAATACCAACTAATACCAATATATGGTAACAGCGCCCTTCATAATGTCTTTTCTGTGTAAATACTAGCACCTCAATTAAAAAAATAATGTGTCCTTATCTTTATACCACTCCGCAAAAAATCGAAGATGCCGGCTTCTTTCATACCATTGCTACCGTCCGCTATCGGGTTTCTAGGAAAGAAACCTACGTCGCCGGGCGACAACTAAAATCCAGATTATATTTTATTATAATCGATTCTGACGAATAAATGAATTTTATAAATGAATGGTTTTTGCTGCCGAATTACTAGAATACAATATTTCAAGGCAGATCTATTCGATAATTTTTATTCGAATAGTGTTCGACAAATGTTTTCTTACTAGCTATCGAATTATTCAAATGAATTGCAACTATCGAATGTTTCGATAGCATTTTCATTCGATAGTTCCCACTACTAAAGGAAATAGTTACCTCTGGAGCAGACTCAAAATACAGCGGTATACAAAACTGAATGGGTACAAGTAAGTCTTCCAAAGAGTAGATTTCCGCGGCATTGGGGGCAAGGCCATATTCCAATTCAAGAAATGTCGGAAACAAATGCAATTTTTGAACTTTGCACTGTAAATTTGGTAACATTGGAGGCGGCGCCTTAGCCTGAAAGAAAGAAAAATCATAAAAAACAACGTCCGATTCGGCAGAAAATTCATACTGAAAGTTAACGTTTCAAATGACATTTTCCATCTTGCTTCAAACCATTGAATAAAAAGAGTAAGGATAGACTATATCAACAAAATCACCGAAATCTGAAAGGCGTTTTAATATGGCTACCTTGAATTCCGATTTAGCAGTGGCGTTCTTATTTTTTAACGAGTTAAAACATGAAGTAGCGCAAACGCAATAATATTTGTGGGTTAACAAATAATTGATTAAAAAATACAGATACAATTTTTTTAATAGTGAAAATTTGTTCCATTACTTTTCATGTTATAGTCTGTCCACAGATGATATCCAAAAAAAAAACGACAGAAAATGCATTTCACCGGCTCGGCTTCACAGAATGCAGTTTAGAAGCGGTTTTTATACAGGGTGTCCCAGAAATAAGTGCAGTATTTTAACTGGTAGTATATTTCGGCACCAAAAACACGCCTATGAGTTTTTTTTGCGAAAAAAATTGTTTATTTTTCTTGACATTTCCCTGGAAATTTTAAAAAACATTTTAGTGCCACTTGTTTATTCACTTGAGGCGTCAAATAAGCTGAAAAACCTCGTGAGAACATCTTAATAGCCGATTATAGCCAGCGGTTCTCAAAATGTTGCCATTATTTTTTTAAATTTTCAAAGTTAAATAACTCGGTTATTTTCAATTTATTTAAAAAATGGTTAAAGATGTTTCTTTTGGCCAGATCTACAGCCCCTTAAAATATCTGCACTTATTTCTGGGACACCCTGTATAAACAAGGCGAGTCTTAAATAAGTGCAAATATTAGTAGATCTCGATAAAAGAAATATAATTCCTCTCTAACGTTTTTCAAATAAGTCCAAAATAACCGAGTTATGATACTTTCAAAATATAAAAAAAATTACTTAAATTTTCAGAACCACCGGATCTTTTGTTTTTTTTTTTCTTGTAAATTTAATCTACAACCTATGTTGCCGTATTATCAAAAAATTAAGTTTTTTAACTAAAAAAAATTCAACATTTTTTTTCAAAAAATTCCAAACTTTTAATTTTTTTTTGGCGAAAAAACTTATAGGCGTTATAGACATAGAAAAAAAATATTTGCACTTTTTTAAGACTCATCCTATATAGTATATATGCTCTGAATTAAATAGACAGACAGAACTGTCACTGTCATGGAACCTCTCGTTGGACAGACTATACCATTCTAAGAATGATCACAAGCTGCACAAATAAATATTTATAATAATCACACAATCCCTTCCAGATTTATACACTTTGCATAAAAATATAAACAAAAAATAATAAAAAAGTAGTCAGGAGAAATTTCAAACAAAACTGACAAAAAGGTGCCTCAGTGACGTCATTTCCGTTACGAGTCTTATTATTCAATGGATAAAGTATTATCAAAAGCTGTGGAACAATGGCAGTTGAAGTCAACTGTCGTTAATTAATATTCTTCGATATTACGACTATTTCTTGAATTGGTCTTGCGCCTGATTTGTCCTTAAATAAAACCTGTGAGTCACGTTCAACGTAGAAACTTTATTTAAATAATATTATTACACAAAAAAAAAAAAAAAAAAAAAAAAACAAAAAAATAAATTCCTTTAATAGGAGTAGACACAGATTAACACTTATTTTTAGATCGTTGTCCTTGAAATATTTCTCTTCGCCATCGCTACCCTCCATTTTAGCAAGCTAACTTTCGCACTACCTACAGTATAAACCTTATCGTTATTTACCTCCTCCTCCCATACGGCGTCTCCATTTTTTACCAAAACCTCGTTGATATAGGCGACCTTGTTTGGGTTGGTGACGTCTGCCAGAAACACGCATATATATTGATCGGCCCAGTTAATATAACTGACTTTGATTTTGGTGTCTCGCCGGTTCACCAGGTCTCGGAATTTATCCGACGACGATTTGGCCCAAGGGTCTGAAAGAAATTTTGATCATTACATAACACAGTGGCCGACAGTGGCTCGGCGGCCATGATGCCAACTCGTGAGAAACTTCGGGATGCAG